TATTTATTCTCTTCTTGTTTTTGTTCATGAGATTTCATTTATTCTTGAATTGCAGACTGTCTATGGATGGCCCTGATCTAGTCATGTTTCATAAGAGATTGACGAATAACACGACACAGTGTGATGATTGATTTGTTCGTGAGATGAAATGCTTGTTATGGATGCAAAATACCAGTCATCTTAGATAAATATTTTATTTGTTGCAATTAGTTTTATCTTGGTCTTGATGAGGCAATTTCGACTTTCAAATATGTTTAGATGAATAGGAAGTTCAAATGAGTAGCATTGCTACGGAAACTGCACTTTTGCACTCATTGCTATTAGATCATTTTAATTTAGAACCCTTTGAGTGAGATTTCGAGGAGAGTTAAGTAAATTTGAGGTCTGATTTGTATATGACATGAGATTTATTCATTGCTAAGAACCGTTTCAAAGTTTATGTGCAAAGTCCGGGCCAATTAAGTCGTGCAAATCCAATCTGGTTTCACATTCGAGTAGAAAACGCTGAAATTTTGTCAACGACGGTCAATAACATCCCAATGTAAGGCAATTAATTACTAGAGCAATAGAACAACAAACCAAGAGCTTGTTTGAGAAGTGTTTATAAATATATAGAAATGAACGAGTACTTTTGAATTTCACGAAATGTGGATACAAATTAATTTGATCCTTTTTAATTGTTTACCAAACATATGCCAAGTCTTGGTCTTTACAATAGTAGAATAAGCTCTCGTATATTCTTGCTCGCGGATCCTCCTCGACCACGATTGCATGAATTACGGTTATTTTTATCTTTTTCGTCGAATTTTTATTTTGAACTTCGAACGATTTATTATAAATTTGGTCTCCATGAAATAACGCGTAAAGCTCATAGGATAGGTTGTAAAAGTTAAAATTTTTAGAACATTTAAGAAGTGGTGGAACAAAATAAATTTATGGTGACAATAAAAAAATCCTATTTATTTCTCAAAAATAAATATAAATACAATTTAAACTAAAAATAAAAACTATAATATTATATAAAATATTTATGGAAGGAAATTTTCCGTTGAGAAAAGGACCCTTATACTTCTATTTATTGCAACTCTAATATATAATTAGATTTCAAAAATCAATTAGTATAATAATTGATTTCGTTTTCCAAAATTGCTCTTATTTAAGCATAATCAACGATTTATATTAAAGAAAAACAATTGCTGCCCGAAATTTGCTTTTACTGCTCTCTCTCACTGGTGAATTTTCAGTTTGATAAATATGGAGATCAACGGGAGTTTCAAGAAGACGACTCAAGGCCGTAGAAAAATCGAAATCAAGAAAATTGAAAATCTGAGCAATAGGCAAGTCACCTTCTCCAAGCGTCGAAAAGGACTTTTCAAGAAAGCCAATGAACTCTGCATATTGAGTGGCGCAGAAATCGCTATTATCGTCCAGTCTTTTGGTAAACGTGTATTCGCTTTCGGCCACCCTAACGTCAATTCAGTAATCGAACGCTTTTTGAACGGAAACGCCAGTTCTGATTCCAACTATCAGGCTCTTGTGGAAAACAACTTCCTTAACACACTGGAATACAACCGGCATTATTCACATATTTGGAGGGAGTTGGAGGTGGAGAAGAAGCGGAAGAAGGTGATAGATGAGTCGAAAAGGGTGGACGCCGGTGGTGATGAATTCTGGTGGGACGCGGCGATCGACTTTCTTGAATTGGATGAGCTCGAAGTTTACATGGTGGCGTTGGGAGAATTGATGAAAAATGTGAACATGAAAGCAAACAATCTTATGCTGTTACAGAATTCGAGTTCATCAGGTGTCGGTGCTCCCATGACTGGATTGAATCCGACCATTGAACCATATTCTCTTGATGATATGTTGTTGAATCAGAATCATAACCAGATTAGTAATAGCTATGATTATGGTAATTGC